CAGTGGTATCAACGCAGAGTACTCATTTTTTAAAAATCATCCATAATTCGCCAAAAAATCACATGAGATAGATATCGTATAGAAACTACTAAGGGATTTTTTTCCGATTTTTTATATTGCGTATGAAGAGGTTTTTCTGAATTTTGAAATATTTTTTTAATTTAAATACGCAGAAGATTGCCTGACTCAGCCACAGCTCATGGCCAGAAAAACTCCCCGCAAGTCATTCTTTCCTCATGGTTATCTTTGGTATCCATCTAATACATCTTAGAAGGCGATTCGTCTAAGTTTTTGGATTTTGAGGCATGAAAATTGATAGGACTTCTTTTTTCCAAGAACTTGAACCGAAATTGCAAAATTCGCAAATTTCTCTGACCTCCCTTAAAACACCGTAAGTTACTCTATACATAATGATGGCGATTTTTTGAACATGAAATGTACAATTTTAGTGCACGAGGTCAAAATCTCCGCGAAAATCACTAGAGGCTGCAGTGGATATAGCGGAGTATGGACAACAGAAATGACCGAGTGACACAAACGGCCGATCTCTTGCCTCTTTCAGTCTGCCCCAATCCCAACCAGGCCAAAGTTGGCATGGTGGGAGCCCCGGGTCGCTGGGGTTTCGCCGTCACAACTATGGCCTGCTTATCTGCTCCTCTTCAATCCTTTTGCTCTTTACGACAGCGCGCATAAGCAGCGCGGACCGCTAGCGCTGCGAGTGCGCAAATTTCCGCTGAGGGTTCTGCCTGATCTCGAATGGAGCAAACTGTATGTCACAATGCGACCTACAGTAGCGCAGTATGTGTTGCTCTTGACTCACTGCCCTTGACTGACCAACAGTGATGTCCGTCAGATTCGTGCGGAATACTGACCGGTGAAGTAGAAGTCGGTGAATTAGTTTTAAAAAGTTGGATTGTTTCTCAACACATTGCGCCTCAACGAGGTTTGAACGGCGGAAGCTTGATGAGGCGTTTGGGTTGGATCACGCGGCAAAGTTTCGAAGATTTACTTTTCAGCCCTCGCTAAACCCTCGTCTGAAGCTTCACTTACTTTATGCGTTCATACTGATCCGGAAGTCTGGGAAACAGTTCCAGCACAGCGATCAGTTCGAGCGCTGTGCTGGAAATGTTTCTGTATACTGTCTGGAACTATTTGAACTCAGCCTTTTCCAGCTGAGATTTTGTCTTGTTTTTCACTTGAGAGTACAATCGGCATGTTTTTCTCTTTACTAATTACAATTTGACGGTGCCCTCATCTCCGTCAAGTCCTGAGATGTAATTTACATCCCTTTTTTGATCGATCTATTGAAGGAACTTTGTTTAGTCGGAGTAGCTTTTTTAGATGTAATGTATACCATAGCTGAGAGCATAAAACGCTGGATCAAATGCTTTCCTAATCTGCGGAACGTTTGTGGACGAGAATTTATAAGATTTTATTTGAGCAAAAAAATACATGTGCAAGTAGGACAAAAGTAGTCGTAAGTTTTTTCTAGAGCTTCAATGGAGCAGTGATGAGTATTAGAGCACCACATTCAATAAATACTCTTGGATAAAAAGTCATACTTGGTGGCTTTTTAAGAGGGCTATCAAGATTTTAACAGCTCATTTTATCCCGAGTGCACATTCACTTCTTTGTTCCCAAAACGCTTATTTTAGAGGTTGCTATTGTTGCCTTTCAATTTTTTAAGGGATCTTCTTGTTATCCACGTCTCAAGGAACATACAATCTGAGAGCAAAAAAACCTAGAAAACTTTCACATACTTCTCATTTGAACATTTGTTGCAACCTAGAGCATTTCTGACCTGGCGGTCCCTAATTGCGAACTCATTAAGGTATGGTTCCCGAATGGCATGCAGCCTGATTCAAAATACGAAGTGTGCTTTGGTAAAGAAACTATGAGACTTTTTCCGCTTTTGAATACTTCACTTGAAAACAAGCCATTCTATCTTACAGATGAAGCTGGATCCAACACGAAGTGCAGCAACTCACTAAAATTTCCCATCAAAGCATGGACAGATCATAGACACTACTTCGGAATACTCCTCAGCGACTGGGGATTAAAGGGATGTCCTGTTTAATCATTGCCAAATACATTTCCGCATTCATCTGTGTTGCTACCACACACTACAACAGCATTTTTCACTCACCAGGCTTCGCACCTTGTGCTTTAACTAGCTCCGTAAACGTACGAGGGTTGTGCCATAAAATCTTATGACTGTTTGTGAAAAACAAAGCTTATCTGAGCAGAGAGGTTGAAAAATTGAACAGAGCAACAATACTTAGATTTTTAAAAGAGCAGTCGCAGTACATCAAGCTCACACGAAAACCCCCGCTCATTGTTGGCTTTCCTTTCTGCACACCCAGATGAATCTCTTTAATGGCACTGTTCGAATCAAATGTTTAGAAATGAAAGCTCTAAGAATCTACTTGTTCAAGCTACATCTGTCCACCCTACAGCTGTAAGACCGAAGGCATACCTCAGACGAATTCAGTCGCTGCGCGATCTGGCATCGCGAAGACTCTTCATTATTGATCTTAAAAGCCCTTTGCTTGGGTTGGATTCCATGCTTTTGCAACAACTCACAGAAATTACTCACTCGTGCATTTAAACCCGCTCACGCTGATTCTGTGGAAATCCGGCAAACGCCAATTCGCCATAGCGTTTTTACGAAATCACAGAAAGTATGCCTTAGGCCTATAACTTTCCATCATTCACAAGATGTACAAAAGGCTGCAGAAGGGTGCACGGCCAAATAGAACGATTCGAGTCGCGACAGCTAGCATCCAGAACTGCTTTGAGGTATGGCTATACTACTGCGAAGTCCCGGCAGCGAACATCTACTGTACACGCAAAAAGTAACACTATGCGAAGTGAATGACAACAGGAACCTACTCTGTAAGCCGTATTTGTTCAATAGTTTCAGTAAGGCAAACAGATGCATAGTAGCAGTTAGAAAATGAGGTGGCGCTGGTCATCATTGCTTGTGGCAACATCAGAAAGTTGTTTGAAACAGATTGCATGACGGAGAGTATACCAGAAAAATACATGTCCGCCCTGCGGAAGTTAGGTCATTGCGCGGAGGGTATCGCTTGTCACTTGGAATGCTTGAATTGTGGCAACGTACATAGGAGAAACTAGAAAAAATTTTGGTTATGAAAGAACACTTGGCTAACAAAAGGGCCGAAAACCTGCCATCACCGTTAGGCAAACATATGAGGAACATAATGAGGTTTTTTTTTCAAACATAAAATGTACAATTTTGATGCACAAGGTCAAAATATCGGCACGAAACTCACTAGATGACGCCGCGGATACACTGGAGTATGAACAACAAAAATAAACGAGTGACACAGCGGTCGATCTCTTGCCCCTTATGTTACAATGCGACCTACGATAGCGCAGATGTATTGCTTTTGACTTGCTGACCAGCTTCTGTGATGTCCGTCACGTCGTGCGAACTGACTGTTGTAAGAAGTTGGTGAATCCGTTCTGGAATGGGATTGTTTCTCGGCACGTTCTCCTCGACGAGGTTTGAACGGCGGAAGTTCTGATGAGGATTTGGTTTGGGCCACACTTCGCCGCGTACGCGGCGTTCGCGGCGAAGTTCTGAAAACTTACCTTTCAACTTTCGCTAAACTCTCGTCAGAAGCTTCACTTGCTCTATTAGGGAAAATGTTGATGTTTGCCTTTGGCTGCGTTCATACTGATCCGGAAGTTTGGAAAACATTTCCAGCAGAGCGCTCACTCCAAGCGCTGTGCTGCTACTGTTCCCAAACTTTGAAATTAGTTTGAACTTAGCCTTTCTTATCCAGCCGAGATTTTGTCTTGTATCCTATATATAAAGCTGAGTGTGTTATGTCTGTCTGTCTGTCTGTCATAGGCTACCTTTCGTTATCGATCGATATCGATTTTATCGCTTTTTTGCAAAGATTGAGCTACAGGGCTGGGAGTTGGCACAGGTGGGTAAGTGAGCACGCTGATTACGAATACAATATCAGTTTTTGGAATCATATGCTAGTTCTATTGATTTTACCGATTTTTTGCAAAGTTTGAGCTACGGGGCTGGGAGTTGGCACAGGGGGCTATCGAACATGCTAAATACGAAGGTTACATCAATTGATTACGAAAGGAACAATTAACGGTGGGTGAGATTATTAACTAAGCTCAGGTACCTCAAACTTGGGTAACCAAACCAATCAAAGTCTGGTTTGGTTACCCGGTTTTGAGGTATTTGGACTGTGACGAAATACTATGACGTCACTGTGACGTCACAACGCTGGCTTCGATGGTTTAATTACACAATAGTAATTATTTTGAAAATGGCTTTGCCAGTAGTAGAGGAGCTGGGATAATGGAATTTTGGATATGTATAGAGTAACTTACGGTGTTTTAAGGGAGGTCAGAGAAATTTGCGAATTTTGCAATTTCGGTTCAAGTTCTTGGAAAAAAGAAGTCCTATCAATTTTCATGCCTCAAAATCCAAAAACTTAGACGAATCGCCTTCTAAGATGTATTAGATGGATACCAAAGATAACCATGAGGAAAGAATGACTTGCGGGGAGTTTTTCTGGCCATGAGCTGTGGCTGAGTCAGGCAATCTTCTGCGTATTTAAATTAAAAAAATATTTCAAAATTCAGAAAAACCTCTTCATACGCAATATAAAAAATCGGAAAAAATCCCTTAGTAGTTTCTATACGATATCTATCTCATGTGATTTTTTGGCGAATTATGGATGATTTTTAAAAAATGGATTTTTTCAAAAATCAGTTTTTCAGGTTTTGGGTTACGGTAAAGCTGGGGGTCTGCAATTTTGCACACATACATATAGTCGTGCCTGACTACACCATAATTTTTTCAGAGTTTTAGGATCACTCTGGAGCGAGTTATGAGAAACCCGGTTCAAGACCAGGCCATAACTCGAGAGTGGGCGGGGCTAAGGGGGCGGGGCTAATAACAAAAAATTCTCCAGGTGAAAATGGTCCGGGGGAACTTGGTCCGAGGGGCAGGGGTTAATGGGGGGCCCGGTACGGCGGGGTAAAGATTCCTGGTTGAGCCTATTCAATTTTCCAGTGGGTCTCACCCAATAAATAAGAGACTTTGCAATATATTGTATCGTCGTGCAATATATTGCACAGCCTATAATGGTGAATTTTCGCTGGTCAACGCGAATACATTGGGAGTGAAAAAATCACTTATTACTGTGTAAGTGACGGACCAAAATTTCGAAAATTTTTTAAAAATCGGGAAAAATTGAGTAATGCTGGGGGCATAAGATAAAAGGTATTTAAACATGTTAGGGCTTTGGTTAAGATACTTAGGGACTTTTGAAAATGTTAAAAGTGGTTTTTGAAGGATTTTGAAAGTTCGTGTATTTCAAATTTGAAAATTTCTAAGATTCTTTGAGAAGGTTAAGAAAAATAGATGAGTGTTAAGGGGATAAGGCGGAAGGTATTCAAGCATGTTAGGCCCAAATTTTAAATTTTTTAAGGGTTTCTAAAAATGTTCAAGGTGCTTCTTAAGGATTGTTGAATGCTCGCAAGGTCGGAAATTTTAGAAAATTCTAGGATTTTTTTTAAAAGAAGGCACAGAATAATAGATGAGTGTCGCGAAGATAACGTAAAAAGGTTTAAGAGTTGTTGAAATAATGATTAAGTGGCTGAGGTCTTTTAGAACTAGTAGAATAAGGGTTTTCGAATATTTACGGGTGTTTGGATGTTACGAAGCTTCGAAAACCTTTAGAATTTTCTTCCAGAAAATCTAGCGAAATAGGTGAATGTTTGGGAAAAAGCGATTACCTCTAAAATGTGAAAGTAGTTTGGTGGCTGTAAAACTTTGGAAAAAAAATCAGATAGGTTTCCGAGTACCTAGAAGACGTTGAACGTTACGAAAATTGGAAAAAAATTCCAATTTTTTCAAGAAAACACAACAAAACAACTGTGCTCATTCTAGAATTTCACAGGCAAGCTATAGCTAGTCTTAAACCGAAAACTTTTTTGTAACCATTTTCAATCAATTCTCGCTGACCTTCGCTTTACTCAAATCAGTATGAGTGTGCTTTTCTAAAACGAGTAACAATTGCAACTTTGTCACATATCCTGAGGACATCACGATACCGTTGCGTGACGGAAACAATCATAATCGGTCCACTGCGCAGCCAGATACTATTTCTCTCTTTCTTTTCATTTCTAAGAAATATATCGAATTGCAGAATGGCAGAGACGACACTAATCCGTCTAATTTTCTCATTTTTTCAGCAACAGGCTTGGATCTTAGTATCCGTGATACCGTTGCCTCTTGGCGAACAAAACGATTAATATGTAAGTAAAGGACGTAGAGCTACATAGAAGATGAGCTTAATGTTTCTGCAGGGCATTCACACTAGTCGTTACACTTTGCCTTGCGGCTTCACTCAATGCTGTCAGATTATTTGACTACAACTTCGTTAGGAATCAAATGTTCCCTCTGGCTGCCGCCGCCTATTCGGATGAGCCAAGGGGCTGCATACTCAATCGCTTCAAAGGCTATAATGGAACTCATGGGAACTTGGTAATTCGCTTTTTATTATATCTGCTCTTTTCTTCGAAAGAGGACATGACAGCACGAGCTGAGCATGATAATTATTTGCAAGTACAGAAAGTTCTGCTTAAAATTCAAACATCTTTGCTTGTGCACGTTGCGTAAAATGTTAAAGCAGATCTTTATCGCGTGCGTTAATTGCTCGAAAGAAAAAGTACGCTTTTTCTTGTTAGTAAATGGAGAGATGCCTTAAAAAGGAAAGCGCTTTCAGGCCTGCATACACGTGCACCCCCCCCCCGCGGGGAGGAGAATTTTCTGAAAGGGGAAGCGTCATATCTCGCTACTACAATAATCTTTAACCTTTTTTCTCTACTTGACTTAGGAAGGTTCTCATATACGTGCGTATAATGGATGCAAGGTTACAGCCATGGGGATCCTCAGGGGGATCACACAACATAATGAAAAACTCTCATTTTCAGCGCTAATTATCTTTCTGAAAACTCAACGAAAACGCTGTGAAATTGTAATGAGGATATAATTGGCACAGCCAAACATGTTTTTGGCGGGAGAAGTAAAATTCAAAGATTGTGAATTTCCGATAATCTCTAGCTCGCGAGCAGTGGTTCATCGAAGATTTTGAATTTCTGGGATTTTACTTGTTTTAGCTATAGTCGTGTTCGATAGTGTCATACTACATCCTCAGCACAATGTTCCAACGGTTTCGTTGACTTTTTGAGAAGGTAAATGACTTTGTAATGAGAGGTGATCCTTTGAGGATTCCAGCGGATCACACAAGATAGTGAAATTGTGTTCTTGTATGACAGTACCATGGCAACTATTATGCGCAGGTATCAGGGTATGAGAGTTCGTAACCAGATTGAGAAAGCAGAAAGAAGGTATCTAAAGTAGCGAAATACGTGGCGTCCCCTCTCAGATCCCCTCCCCTTTCCACGGGGATGTACGTGCATGTGGGCTTTAGTAATGGCCGCTTGAAGTTAGATTTATGTTGATGAACTCAGATGAAAACTGCCATCTCAACAAAAAGCTGGCGGTGAAAAGATTCGATCCTGGAACCTTCTCTGCCATAAAGACCATACTCAAGGCACCATTAAATCGTTGCTGCACCACCTGCAGTGCTGTACCAAATAGTGCATTCAGTTGGACCTACAAGTTTTTCAGAAGAGTGTACGGTAGGTAACGATTGCGGCTTTATTCAGCATTCATGACTGACTTCAGTGTCATACTTCTAAGCTCAAATGGTCACTCCAAGTTTTTCTTTCTAATTTAAAGTTCAACAACTTATCAGATGATATGAGGTATTTTTGCCCAGCAGTGAGGTAAATATTCATAAAATTAGTGGTGCATAGTGCTTGCAATACATGCAGGAAGCAAAATGATTCTGCGTTTGTAGATGAAATTTGAAAGGTTGTAACGCTAGTACGTTTGTCATAACTGAATAATAAAATTATCCTCAAAACTTCTATATTACATTTTGAAACACCAGAATATTCGTAACGAGATTTTTTTTCAGTTCTTTGACCATAATCTTGTTCAATGCGATGGTTTTGAGAATGACTGCTATGGATTCCTAGCCACACTAACCGAACAGTCGGCGATAGTTCTTAGTTTCAGGTCAGCTCTACCTTCAGTTTACAGCAGTCGTATTTACAATAATTTTTGGCTAGATAACGAACCGAAAGCTTCGCTCTGAAGCTAACATGTGCAACGCTTATATCAGCGTCTATCTTCAGGGAATTAAGCTATCCGCCCACTTCAGTGAACACAAAAGAAGACTGTAATGTCGTCAGCAGGAGATGAGCCAAGCATCTCAGTGGAAGCGGCTCGTGTTCGATGTTGCATACGATATATAGGAGGATATGCTTGTGCGGACGGATGCGTTATAACTCACATTGCTATTGAATCCAGCTCTGCTAGTTGCGGTCTTTCTGTCAGTTTTTTGGAGGGGTATGACTGCGGCCGGCCAAAGCCCTCCAGTATGGTTTTAGCGTTCAAATAATTCAAAAGTGAAGGTGACTATCGTAAGCGGCAAGCTTAAATTATAATACGCTCTCATAATGATCATTGCTCTGCTTGAGCGCTTTAAAACTTCAACGTGCACGCACTGAAGCTGTTACCAACATTTCAAATCACTGCCTTACGTCACAATATGACACCTGGTGGTCTATTCGGAGTGATGCTGAAAAGGACGAGAAAAGAAGCACATGTTGGATATGGGTAGTGCGACCAATATTATGCTCATGATCACTTTTCTGGGCTCATGGGTTTGAACAGAACTACCTGGTATTGACCAGATTCGTGGGCCAATTATCGAGCAACCTCGCAGCACATATACACTTCCTGCGTAGTGTTTGAGGGGAGGCCGTTGTAAATTATCGACAAGGTCGACCTGATAGCACATTACGACAAAATAATTAATCATGATTTCGGATCCGCTTTGGTTTCGCATAAGCTTTCCTGCAAACACCTCGTTCGCCATCACTTTCGTGCTAGTCAAGACAGCCTGTGCTAAAGAACATTTGCAGCATTTGTCCGTTACTGAGACACTGAGGTCTGCTTTGAAGATGAAAATCTCAGCCGCAAGCGCAGAATCTGAGCTGCCGCTCAGTGTCTAGTCGCAGTGTCTTGATTAAAGCCCTAAAATTACTATCAACGTGAGATCCGCATAAGTCTAGATTTGATCAACGCTGCTTCTAAACAAAACGTTTGATTTGCTTCCGGCAGCTTACAATATAAATCACGTCTAAAATGTCCACACGTCTCCAAACAGACCGATGAATGAATTCACTCATAACGCTTGTGAACTTCTTGTGTAATCCTTTTCAAAATAGAGAACTTTACAGAATGCTAGAGCTAGGGAATACCCACCAAGTAGAACAGCGAGCAGACGTGCAAATCTTGCAAGACTATTTGAAATAAAGAAATTGCTTCGGATCAGTGTCCCTAGTTGGGGGACTAATACCATGTTATGTTAAGATTGCAAAGCATTGTATCTTCCAAAACGCTGCCTTCGTTCACGTGCTAAGTAAAGGAACTTGGAAATGTTTTTCAGGGATGCCAGTCTGGATGTCACGATGGGAGCGGCAACCCGAGCTGCGCCGAACGTGACACTCAGGTTGGAATTCCCTGCAGCTCAACAGTTATCATTACAGAGGCACCAATTATCTAAGTCAACTCAAGAACGAAGTTGCCACCAGCGCTGCTGTGGTAATTTGTGTGAAATAATTGGTGCGTAGATCAGCTGTTGCTTAAGGTCCCCATGGGGTTAGGTGAAGTGTCTTGGTACTTCTACAATGCTTTCTCAAAAGTGTGGGGAAATGACGCAAAAGGCGTAAAAGGTCTAGAACGTGCCTTCAAGGACCAGATCGAACGACACCCTAAGTACGAAATATGGGTATGTATTGAATGCACAAAGATCGTTTTCATGTGATCAGAAACTTTAGGTGACCGTCCTTTCGCTCGGAGGTGCCATGGCGTCTCTGGCAGCGTATCACATCGCCAAAACTTATAACAAGATATCTGAGCGGATAAATGAGCGGATAAAGCTGGTAACATTCGGAGAGCCAAGAACAGGCAATGCTGCATATGCTGAAGACTTCAATAAAAAGGTAGAAATTTACATAATCATTTACACAGCATGCTCGAATACCCGCTCTGCCTTGCTCTGTCAGTACACTATGTCAGTATACTAAAAACTACCACCTCTACTTTATATAAGTTTTTTTGTTCTTATTCTTCTTCCGTATGCCAGTATTCACTTCTCCCACTACGTTTTCGTATTCATTTTTTTTCGTGCTTATTTACCCACTGTGCCTGATGGTGGAGTAAAGCACAATTAGCATGAGTTTTCAAGTCTCTGAAACTCTACGCAGACTTTTTGAAATTCTCTCCAGTTTTTTTGAAACTTGTACATTTTCAAGTTTGTGTGAAGTTTGTATCATATCGTTCAAATATGGCTCAACGTGCGATAATTTAGAAAAATCTAGAAACTTTCAAATATGGCTCAACGTGAGATAGTATAGAAAAATCTAGAAACTAAGAAGAGAAATCTTAACAAACTGTCGTGAGGTCTGAAATTCTGGTCATTATTTTTTCGCAGATCGACTACGCATTTCGGGTCGTCAACGAAAGAGATCCAGTGCCGCATGTTCCATTTTCTCCACGTTTACCATTTTCTTCAAAACCCGGATACTACAGTCACCATAAGTATGAAGTGAGCAATTTGATTTTGGCAATTCGTTTTTTTTGTTGAAATTATCAGCCATAAAAACATCGAGTAAGTGCTTATAATGCGTAAGAGTTATGTATGATTTTTGTTCAGGAGATTCGACCCTTAGGACGCTTAGATGTTCTAGATCTAGCTTCAAAGTTTACGGATCACGATTTTTGCGTTCTCTGGTGTCATTTTGAAGAGCTTGCTTGGCTCTATCGTACATTCGTATAATTTTAGGGATTGCTTTTTTTGCCTTTCAATTTTTTAGGGTCTCGTTTCTTATACACGCTATTAGAAACATATTATTTGGGAGCAAGAGGACTTAGAAAACTTACTTCTTATCCAAACATTTGTTGCAATCTAGAACATTTTTGAATTGGCGGTCATTAATTTCAAATTTATTAAGGTATGGTTCCCGAATGGCATGGGGCCTCGTTCAAAATTCTTGGTCTGCCATGGTAAAGAAACCTTGAGACTTTTTCCGCTTACAAATACTTTACTTGGAAAAGAAGCCATTCTATCTTTCAGATGAGGCTGAATCCAACGAGAGGTGCAGCAACCAACTTTATGTAAAAGGAATACTTTGGCATCATACAAAGTACTTTGACAAGAAGGTCAGCGACTATGGAATCAAAATGTGTTCGGTATAGGGTGTAATCATTGCCAAATACATATTTGCATCTATCTGTGTTGCTACCACACACTTCAACAGCATGTTTCACTCACGAGGCATCTCACCTTGTGTTTAACTAGCTCCATGAGCGTACAAGGGTTGCGCCATAGAGTTTTGTCTCACCTGACCAGAGGGAGCAAAATATCGCACAAAGCAAAAATCTTCAGATTTCTAAACAAGCAGTCGCAGTGCATTAAGCTCTTACGAGAAGCCCGCACACTTGTTGGCTTTCCTTTCTGCACACCCAGATAAATCTCTCTGAAGGCGCTGTTTGAATCAAATGGTTTAAAGGAAAGCTTCAATAATTTAATTTTTGATTCAACTGGCTTGGCACCATTAGGGCGGAGTTTTGTGGTCTAGTTGAGACAGCTCGCGCCCGCGACGCACCTGCGTTTCTCTCGCGCGAGTGCTCTCTGATCACTACCTAGCCTTAATTAGGTCAGAAAGCCTTGCCTTTGCCGATGCCAAGCCAGTTGAATCAAATGATATTTGTCCAAGCTACATGCTTCCGCTACAGCTGTAAGGTCGAAGGCATAGAAATCTTGTCGCTACGCAATCTTACACCGCAAAGACTCTTCATCATTAGTCGTAAAGGCGCTTTGTTTGTGCCAGACTTTATGGCATCTTGGATTCGTAGACATCTGCCAAATCGCAAAGTCGCCATAGCGCTTTGACGGAATCGCGAAAAGTACGCCGTAGGCCTAAAACTTTTCATCATTCACTACATGTAAGGAGGCTGTAGAAGTGTGCACGGCCAAAGAGAGCAATGCGAGTCGCGACAGCTAGCATCTGAAACTGCTCGCAGGAATGGCTATATCACTGTGAAGCCCCAGCAGCGAACATCTATTGGACACGCAAACAGTAGCCCATGCGAAGTAAGAACAACGACAATAAGATCCCTCTCTGTATGTTTTTTTTTTGTTCGACAGTTTTAGTAAAGCAAACCAAATGCATAGTAGCACATTTTGAAAATGGGGTTATGCTGTGCAACATTCTCAGTAAACATCAGAAAGTTGTTTGAAACAGATTGCATGACGTAGAATATATACCGAAGAAATGCATGTATGCCCTTACGGAAATAAGGCGATTGAGCTGAGGGTATCGCTTATCACTTGGAACGCATGAATTGTGGCACGACGTACATAGGAGAAACTGAAAGAATTCTAAGTGTTAGTGGAAAATACCTGGTTAATAAAAGACGAGAAAACCTGTCATCACCATTAGGCGAGCATAAGACTGAGGTACATAATGATGGCGATTTTTTGAACATGAAATGTACAATTTTAGTGCACGAGGTCAAAATCTCCGCGAAAATCACTAGAGGCTGCAGTGGATATAGCGGAGTATGGACAACAGAAATGACCGAGTGACACAAACGGCCGATCTCTTGCCTCTTTCAGTCTGCCCCAATCCCAACCAGGCCAAAGTTGGCATGGTAGGAGCCCCGGGTCGCTGGGGTTTCGCCGTCACAACTATGGCCTGCTTCTCTGCTCCTCTTCAATCCTTTTGCTCTTTACGACAGCGCGCATAAGCAGCGCGGACCGCTAGCGCTGCGAGTGCGTGCGCTGAGGGTTCTGCCTGATCTCGAATGGAGCAAACTGTATGTCACAATGCGACCTACAGTAGCGCAGTATGTGTTGCTCTTGACTCACTGCTCTTGACTGACCAACAGTGATGTCCGTCAGATTCGTGCGGAATACTGACCGGTGGAGTAGAAGTCGGTGAATTAGTTTTAAAAAGTTGGATTGTTTCTCAACACATTGCGCCTCAACGAGGTTTGAACGGCGGAAGTCTGATGAGGCGTTTGGGTTGGATCACGCGGCAAAGTTTCAAAGATTTACTTTTCAGCCCTCGCTAAACCCTCGTCTGAAGCTTCACTTACTTTATGCGTTCATACTGATCCAGTCTGGGAAACAGTTCCAGCACAGCGATCAGTTCGAGCGCTGTGCTGGAAATGTTTCTGTATACTGTCTGGAACTACTTGAACTCAGCCTTTTCCAGCTGAGATTTTGTCTTGTTTTTTACTTGAGAGTACTATCGGCATGTTTTTCTCTTTACTAATTACAATTTGACAGTGCCCTCATCTCCGTCAAGTCCTGAGATGTAATTTACATCCCTTTTTTGATCGATCTATTGAAGGAACTTTGTTTAGTCGGAGTAGCTTTTTTAGATGTAATGTATACCATAGCTGAGAGCATAAAACGCTGGATCAAATGCTTTCCTAATCTGCGGAACGTTTGTGGACGAGGATTTATAAGATTTTATTTGAGCAAAAAAATACATGTGCAAGTAGGACAAAAGTAGTCGTAAGTTTTTTCTAGAGCTTCAATGGAGCAGTGATGAGTATTAGAGCACCACATTCAATAAATACTCTTGGATAAAAAGTCATACTTGGTGGCTTTTTAAGAGGGCTATCAAGATTTTAACAGCTCATTTTATCCCGAGTGCACATTCACTTCTTTGTTCCCAAAACGCTTATTTTAGAAGTTGCTATTGTTGCCTTTCAATTTTTTAAGGGATCTTCTTGTTATCCACGTCTCAAGGAACATACAATCTGAGAGCAAAAAAACCTAGAAAACTTTCACATACTTCTCATTTGAACATTTGTTGCAACCTAGAGCATTTCTGACCTGGCGGTCCCCAATTGCGAACTTATTAAGGTATGGTTCCCGAATGGCATGCAGCCTGATTCAAAATACGAAGTGTGCTTTGGTAAAGAAACTATGAGACTTTTTCCGCTTTTGAATACTTCACTTGAAAACAAGCCATTCTATCTTACAGATGAAGCTGAATCCAACACGAAGTGCAGCAACTCACTAAAATTTCCCATCAAAGCATGGACAGATCATAGACACTACTTCGGAATACTCCTCAGCGACTGGGGAATAAAGGGATGTCCTGTTTAATCATTGCCAAATACATTTCCGCATTTATCTGTGTTGCTACCACACACTACAACAGCATTTTTAACTCACCAGGCTTCGCACCTCGTGCTTTAACTAGCTCCGTAAACGTACGAGGGTTGTGCCATAAAATCTTATGACTGTTTGTGAAAAACAAAGCTTATCTGAGCAGAGAGGTTGAAAAATTGAACAGAGCAACAATACTTAGATTTTTAAAAGAGCAGTCGCAGTACATCAAGCTCACACGAAAACCCCCGCTCATTGTTGGCTTTCCTTTCTGCACACTCAGATGAATCTCTCTAATGGCACTGTTCGAATCAAATGTTTAGAAATGAATGCTCTAAGAATCTACTTGTTCAAGCTACATCTGTCCACCCTACAGCTGTAAGACCGAAGGCATACCTCAGACGAATTCAGTCGCTGCGCGATCTGGCATCGCGAAGACTCTTCATTATTGATCTTAAAAGCCCTTTGCTTGGGTTGGATTCCATGCTTTTGCAACAACTCACAGAAATTACTCACTCGTGCATTTAAACCCGCTCACGCTGATTCTGTGGAAATCCGGCAAACGCCAATTCGCCATAGCGTTTTTACGGAATCACAGAAAGTATGCCTTAGGCCTATAACTTTCCATCATTCACAAGATGTACAAAAGGCTGCAGAAGGGTGCACGGCCAAATAGAACGATTCGAGTCGCGACAGCTAGCATCCAGAACTGCTTTGAGGTATGGCTATACTACTGCGAAGTCCCGGCAGCGAACATCTACTGTACACGCAAAAAGTAACACTATGCGAAGTGAATGACAACAGGAACCTACTCTGTAAGCCGTATTTGTTCAATAGTTTCAGTAAGGCAAACAGATGCATAGTAGCAGTTAGAAAATGAGGTGGCGCTGGTCATCATTGCTTGTGGTAACATCAGAAAGTTGTTTGAAACAGATTGCATGACGGAGAGTATACCAGAAAAATACATGTCCGCCCTGCGGAAGTTAGGTCATTGCGCGGAGGGTATCGCTTGTCACTTGGAATGCTTGAATTGTGGCAACGTACATAGGAGAAACTAGAAAAAATTTTGGTTAGAATGAAAGAACACTTGGCTAACAAAAGGGCCGAAAACCTGCCATCACCGTTAGGCAAACATATGAGGAACATAATGAGGTTTTTTTCAAACATAAAATGTACAATTTTGATGCACAAGGTCCCTACTAGCATCCCTACTAGCATTCATATTATTAAAGTACCGCTAAACGACACCTTAGGAGTAAATCGTCAGTGAAATGTTTTCAACCCATTGTTATATACTACTCACCGGATCCATTGAAACCTAAAGAAGTAGAAAAACAAAAAAAGAATCCCTGGAAATTTTAGGTTCTCCTCATGCAAGTCGTAAGGCAATGCTCGTATCAAAATATGACTGGACCATATATGTTTCTGATGGCCACTTAAGTAGGTAAATTTAAGTTCAGCAAAGGACATTCTGTTCCATGACATCCTATCAGGAAAAGAATTTCATGGGTCCGAAAACAAACTAGTGCAAAAGCCGTTGAGATAAGTTCTGAAGATGTGCAGATCCATCCTAGAGCACACATACGTCTCACAACCGCTTAGTAGCCATTAATTCAAGCAATTACTAGTTGGCTTATCTTAATCTGCTTGCTCTTGTTTGCTAAATGTAATGAGGCACTTCATAGCTCAAAATGAGTGAAAGTCGAACACTGTTGCAGCAAACTCGTGATGCGATTCAAAAGAAAAGCATTCAATACAATCTCAGATTAAAAAACTTATGCAATCAGCTGAGCAAAGAGGGCTCACTACATTTGTATAAAAGGTGGAACATATAAAAAGGCTCTCCGCAGAAAGGGCAGTCATTACCTTTCTATTTCCTATTTCGCTTCGTTAGCGATAAAATCACTTGTTTCAGAAATTGGAACAGGTACTGCGCAATTTGTGCATCTTGAACGGATATGCTGCAGATCCTTGTGATTGGTCCTTGTGCTCCATGGCTCTAGGAGCGGGACCGCCCCAATAGTATTGCATCGCCAAATCAGCAATGGGTGGCGGTCGAGAATAACGATAGCTCTGCCAGCTGCTCGCGCACGTAGAACGACCCACCCTCACTTGTACAGTAAATTTCGACCCGCTTAGGGGGAAGTTGAATTGGCGAGCGTCCGCCTCGCAATGGTTCGCGCCGTTTCGCAACTACGGTATATCATATGGTGCAGAGAATCCAAGTCTACGTCTCTTCATTCTCCGTAGTCTTCGCTTGGCAAAATGCCGCCGCTATGGTTCCGCGATGCGCATGCGCTGCTCCACGTAGGATTTTTCGCCTAAACCGGGATGAAACCGACTGTACATGAAACTGTCTTTTTATTGAAGTTCGTTTTCTAAACCAATCATACAAGCTTGTACATATTTCACATGCTGATTTGAGCTGAAAACATTTCCATTGCGTATTTGTGGCCATGTGATTGCTGATTATTTCCATCCTTAGAAAATAGCAGAAGCCTTAACATAAAGCGTAAATAAAACAGAACAACGTTTCGGACATTAAGTGCTATAAAATTTAGTGCCTGCGTGAGCTTCCGTTGCTGGGGTAGTGCTCCCTGTTAACCTGTTATTGAAATACGGGCACTCAGGATGTCACTATTGCCAACTTTCGTTATTCTTGAAATGTTAGGTCGTGTAATAAGTTCTGTCCCATTTTTTGTTTTAGTTTTTTCTTGCCAACATTGACTATATTTGAGATATAGTGAATGCGATTTTGAAAGCTCTAAGTCTGTTCTACAGGCTCATAGCAGGCATCACCCAACATAGCAGAAAATTGAAAAAGATTTCATCGTTGAAATAAAAAATCCAAAGAGCCGAAAAATCAATTTTCGACATCTTTTTTCCTCCAAATTTTTCTCAATTTTTATTGCTGAAACATATGAAATGAACATGACAACAAGCAAAGCAATCTATTAGACTTTTACACTTATTCTATCGCTGTTTGCGCATGTTCCCTTCCTTCCACCGGCTACTTAAAGGCAGCGTCCGGGCAAAATTTCGCCTCTCATGTTTCTGCCATTCTGGGGCCTTCCCGTGGCCCTGAATGCAGCTGTAAAGTCCAAATTGTTCAATACCCCCAAAAAACCCGATTCTTGGGGACCCTCTCTTCAAGAAGCGGACGAGTTTCGGATTGCTCGTCCCCATCGCATGCCAGCGGGAAAAGCTGCAACTGTACGGATGCAGTTGCATTGCAGTGTGCAGTGCAACTGCAATGCAACTGCAATGCAACCGCACACCTGCGTAAGCACTCGTCCTCAGCGGTGGTTTGTGATACGAAGGGGCAGTTTGTGATACGTATCACAGGCCCGTATCTCCTTTTAGAGGCCACTTCAAAGATTCGGACCAACGCAGATCGGATACTCATGGGCCCCTCTGTATAACTATATGCTAACCTGGGTTGATGAATCTTGCCCGGACGCTGCCTTTGAATGGTGCAACTATAGGTACCGCTTTCAACCTTTCACTTTCGTGCCATAAAAATAAGTATCTCGAATCTTTATTTTTAGTGACACAGATTTGAGATGTTACAAACTAAAACTTGTTCATCTTTGCTGTACTATACTTTTTGAAAGCTAAGGATTTGGTAATCGTTGGGCACTCAACGACGTAGTTCACTTATCCAATCTTTTTTATTTCTAAAGTTTGGTCTCCTTGTGATAGAAACATTTTAAAAATTTAGGTGATTTCGAACAAACCAAGATTAAGACACGGTTCATACAAACCAAGATTATATCACATGATGCAAGAAACCAATCGGATTTCTATCTCAAACTTATTAAATTATTAACTTGACGATTTGGCGAATCAAAATGAGAAGATTTGGAAGTCATTTTTAAGTAGCATGACCTAAGGTTTTTTGAAACTGAAGCACACGGACGTCATAATCCAAACTTTTTGAGCAAGTCACATAAGTCGTTGCCGAAAAGACCAAGCTCAAGGCAGTATATAAGGTCAAACACAGTATATAAACCAGCCGCAGCTAGATCCGACATTCACCCAAAAAGTTTTCTTTTCCTTGCACTTCCCAGGCTCCAACAAAAGCTAGCTTCTGCAATAGCAATTCTAGAAATAGCTTTACACTTTCAGTTGACTGGTCTTATCCTATTCATGAAAGGATCCTTAATTTATTAAAACTTTGATTTCTGAGCACGAAAAATTGAAAATGTAGAAGAACCTTTGGATCACTTCATTCTCACTGCAGGATGTAAACTGCATCCAATAGTCGTCTTGAGAAATTTTGGACGATTGAAAATCTTTTTGCACGGTATGCAGAACTCGTAACTTTTCTTTTGCGACGTAAGTGCTCGCCTAAATATGAGATTGTAGGAAGTTTCTGAAGACTTTTTTTTATTTCCGGAAACTTGCTTTTTTCGCACTCTATTGGATTCCGGCGACAATTTTTTGTGAAATTATGTAGAGCAAAAAAAATTTTCAGCCATTATTTTAATCATAATGGGTGTCAAGTGTTAAGTTTAATTAACACAAAGCTTAATAAAAATCCTGTCTACTCTACATAACGAAGAAATCTTCTCGACTATAAAAATTTCATATTTCTTCTGCTTATCCACGAAACAAAAGTTAGCAGTACTTTGAAAAGCATTCGCGGAAACTTCTGATAACTTCATCATGCGAGAAAGATTGTTCGCGATGACTTGATGACTGAGGATGACTCCCCTTTAGCAAGCACAATTATGCATGTTTTGAAACGTTTACTATATTTATGAAGGCAAAAAAGTAAAAAAAAACATAGATTGGCCATATTGAAAGGGTTAGTGCTTTGTACATAAATTAAGTCAGGCTGGATTGAGGGAGAAGAGAACATGCCTCAAAATTTCAGATCCACAAACGCTTTTTTAATTTGTTATCAAAATGTATTCTGTAAACTAGCCAAATATGTTCAAGCAGATGTTCATTCATTAAAAGTTTTAAGATGTTTGGGTTGATTGCTACGCTTTCGCTTGTGGTGGTCGGAGCTCATTCCGCCGTTTTTTCCGATGATTTCGCTTACAACAACATGCTCCCTCTGGCTGCTGCAGCTTATTCAGACCATCCGGATGCATGCGTCAGAAATCACTTTAACGGACAGGTAAGGCGTGATTCTTATCATGAAAGTAGGGAATAGCACATCGTATGCAAATACATTTGTCTCTTCGGAATAGGTGTATTAACTTTCAAAATCTTTGAATTTTCCTGAAAGTAAGAAGTGAATGGGGCAAATGAGCACATGAGGGAGTAGCCTTTGATTCAACTGGATCGGCGGCTGAAAGGCGGGTATTTGCGGCCGAATTAAGACCGCTCGCGTCCGCGACGCAATCTGCGTCTTTCTCGCGCGCTTACTCTCTGATCATTCTCTAGCCTTAACTGAGCCACGAAGCCGCCTTCCAGCCGCCAATCCAGTTGAATCAAAGGGTAGAAACAGAGACTATCCCCATTAAAGACACAAGAAGATATGCTTCACGTATTCACAGCTGCCATGCATACATTTGTCATCATCACATAGGTAACAAAGAAAGTGAAGCATGGCATGGCAAAAATCGAATTAAATCAGGCGAAGCTGCTAACATACTCATGGCCATATATAGGTAAATGTAATTTTCGCATTCATACAGACAAGATCTTGAAATAAGCATTTCCAAGCTCTAACCTTTACACTCATCGCCTGCACTTTTACTCAAGCTGCTACAAAGTGTGATGATGTGCACTAGAGTCTAATGAATGGGAATGAGCAATGTGATTACTAGTATAAAAAAAAGATTTTTCGTTCTTTCAAAGGAGATAATGCTTTCAAAGCAAAGATTGTTCAGATCTACAGATTTTACAAGGTGGACTGCAAAGGCCCTTGGAGCGGAACTGCATCAGTCTCATGTGCGGCATATACGGCCCTGCTACCCAGTAGGAAAGCAATAGTGCTGAGTTTCAGGTTACTTCAAAATTATATGTCTTTATATGTTCAATGATAAGTCCTTGAACGACTACAGGGCTTCAGTAACATTGCTTTAGATAATTACCATCCACATAGGCGTTGACTAGGGCCCGCGGCGGAGGTGTTAGAAGCAGGCTAAACTTCGTACATTGGCAGAAAAATGTATATCGTAAAAATGTCATACAGGCATATGAGCGACCAAGTAGACCAACACACTTTTAAAGAGAGGTTACTACAATAATGACATGCTTCACCGTGTTTTTTCAGCAAGCGATCTGAAAAAAGCAAGGTTAAAACATTAGCTTGTTTGCAGTTCAGAACCAAACTCATGAACCTCTCGAGGTTATCCAAAAATTTACTCTTGGACAGGAATGCTGACCCAGCCTTGTCTTTCTTTTTCTAATTGAAACAGCTCGCTATACTGTACTGCATTCCAAACTATGCCATTTGCAAGTGTCGCTTACCTTAAAGCGTTTTCAAGCGAAGCGGAATTCGCATTTGAAGCTTTCAGTTGCGGTGTCAACATTCGTATTTTTGCCCTCTTTCTTCCTCTTTCCCTTCGCACATGCATTCCACCTACGCTCGCTAATTTTACTCATACTTCTCAAGATCAAGAACGTAAATAAGTTGAAAATTGTTGCTCCATTTCGTTAATATATGTGATTTTGTGTATGCTCGCTGCTTTTCAAAAGAGCCTTTGTAAAATTAATGATAGGTAAGTAGTATCTCTGTTTTGGAAAAGCTTAAGCGGTGCGTGCAGGACCCTAATCTAGACTTAAGGCTTACCTTTATTTGCAAGTACCTCCGATTATTATCCCTAACAATAAGTATATAAAACGATAATATTTGGTACCAATTTTATTTCAACAATATTACACTTTGTTTTTTACAGAGGGACAAACACACCCATGCAGCTTTTCAAGGAACTTGTTCATTGTAGATTGAATCAAGAAGTAAGTCAAGCATATCACAAAATGCTTGTATGAGCGGAAGTTTTTTTTATAGAAAGAATGGCTCGGTGTTGCGCAGGTGAACACCTACTTCCTTAGTGCTTTCAACGACTTGTTTCACATGAGAATGGATAAACTAGAAAGGAGCACTATGTATGATGATGTCAAAGATCTGATTAAGCAACACTCAGAATATGAGATTTGGGTACGCGCTTTAAGGAGAAAATTTTCCTTATTATGTGAGTTCAGATAACTGGGCACTCACTGGGAGGTGCATTGGCATCTCTGGCGGCATCTTATTTAGTGGAGAAAAGATTTGCACCGAGCTCAAAAATAAAGTTAATGACGTTCGGCCAGCCCAGGACAGGCGACGAGGAATTTGCTGATAGGTTTAATAAAACGGTATGACAACACGGTATACGACTACAAGCACATCTGTATGTAAAAAAGTTTTCGAAGCTTGAGCAGCACCTATTTTCCGCACATTATTCTATCCGCGGTCATCTGAAAAAGAGGAGAAGGAAACAATTTTATAAGATTTAGCGCTTACGAACATTCTATTTAGAACATGTAAAGAAAGAAAAAAGTAAGGAAGAGGTTTGGGAAATAGCATCACACGTCTTGAAATTCGTAAGTCTTTACAAGCAGAGTTTATTTCTTTTACTATGCAAAGCAAAAAGCGAAACTATGCATGCTTAGACTATCTTAGTATAAAGTCTTGAAACAATCTCTAATTTGAGAGCTAATACTGTCACTGGTTTTTACCCTTTGCAGATCGACTATGCATTCCGCGTCATCCATGCCAATGATGGGGTACCTCATGTCCCACCCGAAAAGTTCGGATACCGCCATCATAAACAGGAGGTGAGCATTGTGAAACATTCCATTACGGTGCACTCTGTTCGTAGTAGTTTTCGGCTAATAATCGTTTAAGTTGGTGTCTACGCGATGAAACAAGTGGACAGAAAATTGTCAAATTGAGTTAAAGAAAATTCTATTCAAGGGAATCTTGCAATTGGCGTGCCAATACGCAAATCAGCGACAAATGAAGGTGCACAGTCGCAATTGCACCACTTTTCCACGCGCCTAACACAATAGGCAATGCCTTAGTCACCAGTTTCGATCTTCAGCTCACCTTATCAAGGACATTAAGAGATCTGAGAATGACCGCAAAAGAAACCACAAAAGAAAATTTGGCAACAAAATTGTTTTTGCTAGTTGTGTGTAGCGCATTCGTTGAGAGAGATACTATGTGCAAGGGGGCCCTGACTCGTTGTTACTTATAGGCATGTAGTATCCAAAAAACTTTTTTTTTTTCGAGAAAGTTCTTTTTGTTTGACCACACGGTAACCTGCAATTTTTCTTCGTTCGCATGTATAGCTTAGGAAAGCACATCTAAATACGGCGTGGTGATTTAGTTTGTCAGAGGACATGTAGAATATGAACGCGAAGAATGTAGTGAATGTGCGATCGCAATCAAAACGTTTCTGGAGTGACCTATTATCTACTTCTGTATTGTTGCAACCTATATGGTGAAAGGAGACAAGGAATTTGATCACACAATCTAGAAATATTCTTAGCACATTTCATCCCGCGCACCTTTACAAGCAAATCGGCTTGCATGTGACAGGATATAAATGCAAATAAGCAAACTTGCCTAGGAAAAAAGCGCATTCGAAATGAGATAAATATGTTTGCTGTAAAAAGTTCCTTTTTTCGCCCATGTTTGCCGCTCTTTGTTATGTTTTAGCCGCTCCTCGTTAACTGAGCTATTAAATGGGAAGGTTTTCTAAAAAGCTGTTTTACCAGTGACTTCTAATACAACTACTGCTTACAAACTTATTCAGGTTTACTACTCTGGGCAAGACATGTTAGCAGGGAAAGGGAAAATGTGCAACCCCGGTACAAAATTATGGTTTTTGTTTATCGACAACAACACATCTTCCGATTACAGGTCAATGCAGCGATAAGATTAACTGGCTTACCTACGATTTCTCTAATACCCATAAGTGCTATTATGGAAAGTACGTCAGCGAATGGGGAATTAGTGGATGTGTCGTAGATGACGAATATCGTAAAAAAGATATCTGCACAACTGATGCATAATTTTGAAAAGAATACACATTCTTGCATCTACTTGTTTCATTTACACCCTTCAGCATTTTAATTAGTTTCAGATATATTATCAAAAAACGAGATTGTACTCGGCCTTGTCCAACATTGAAAGGACAACAGCATAAGATAAGAATGACAACCAAATCGCTCCAAATCCCTGATAACAAGCAAATAACCGCGGCAAGCTTGGTGTCCATTGTGCGTCACGCATATATGAGTGTTTTCAACGAAGTGGCTTCATTTTGCTGCCACTCTGCTTTCATGTTATTTTATTTCCATCATGAATTCTGCTACCATTCGAGTAGATTTTCCGCTTGATATATTGTGCTTGCACAGCAAGTGAAATGCGGTAGAATTTGCGCATGAACAAATAGCCAGCCAGTAATGCCGTCACGTGCATAGCTACTTGTTTACGCGCAGGTTTTACGCAATTTACCTGCAGTGCAAGCACACTATATTACAGGCAGTGACTCGGCAAATCTCGATCTGTGGTTTTCTCGCTTACTTGGGGTGATTCGACGCGCTGAATCCAAAAATTCAACCTGAAGAGCGCGAAAATGGCGGTAACTAGCACTTCTCAAGGCCCTTTGTTTTGAATCTGAACGAGCGGAACGCTCCCGCCACGGTTAAATACGTAGAGTCGTTGCGGGATCCTCATGTTCAAGCACTGCGGCATGCCGCTTCTGACGGTGTGAGAGATATCGCAAGCTCGTCCGAGCGTGTGTTAGAGTAGCTTGTGTGCACGGGTTTAGGACCAATTTTTAGGCAGAGCTAGCATGCTGTGCGCTCGGACCTGCACCGTTCGCATGTTGAGAGTGCAAGCAATCTTTCATGAAAATTTCGAGATATTTGGTCTTGCCGAGCCACTGCCTTTAAACAGAAAATCTACTCGACTGTACTTGTATACAGCACTCCCGCAATCGGAGAGTTAAATTCACATCCTTGTTACATACTCTTTGCTTCAACCAGATTGGCGGTTGGAAGGCGGGGCTTCGTGACCTAGTTGAAGCTGGGAAATGATCAGAGTGAGCGCGCTCGGGAGAGACGCAGACGCGTCGCGGGCGTCCCTGATTAGGTCAGAACGTCTCGGCTTCCAGCCGCCTATCCAGTTGAATCAAAGATTACTGTTAGTGCTTTATTGAACGCGCTGCGAAGTTTTTCAAGGATTCAGGAATTAAGAGTCCACACTACGATGATAGCAGCAAAAAACTTTGTTATTGCTTTCAGTAAGTATAAAGAAAATGAGAAGTGAACAGGAACGTAAAACAGCGGCAAAGTCATAGTGATGACTGATTTGTCCGCATCATATGAGCATTCGACGTAAGTTACTTGAACCTATTTGAGCACCAAGTCTCCAAGCAGAACTCGAGATACAACTGACCAACATGTGTGAACAGTGCTTAAGTGCAACAACCTAATGTCAGTAAAAAGTAACGTTTTGACGAATTCTTCACATCGATTTTGAAATTAGTTCTTGTCGATATATGTGAGCACTTAATCAAACCGCAACTACTTGAAAGGAACCGCAACTACTTGAAAGGATCGAGATTGAAGAACTAAACCATTAAAACAACCACAAATTTTAAGTAAGGTAGTTTGACGATTTGATGGAGATTTTGAAAGGACCACAACAGAGATAGCACCATCATACACTTTTGCCGCGAACAACGGGAGCGATAGTTGTACAATGATCTGAGACCGTAGATTCTAATAATTCACAGAACTAAGTATGCTTCCTATGTGTTTCCAAAATCTGGTGGTTTACTTAAGCTCCTAGTACAAAAATCATATTTCCGCTAAGCACAACGAAGAAGAGTTTTCTTGATATTTTTATTACGACTTGATCGTAATACCATGCTCTCTCTAGCTGCTGCAGCTTATGTTAGCAATTCAAGATTGGCATCGGATACCATTTTAGTAATGCCAAAGGTTTTCAACAAAAGTATCAGATAGCGCAGCGCATACCGAATACGTATAATTTATAGTACAAAATGTACTCATTTGAGATTTTGCGGTCTGTCATGTGCCCGACTGACAGAAAATGACTAGTCGAATGGTTTTCCAAAAAGAGAAGTTTTGATTGCATGGTACGCTGAGTTCAAATGTTTTCCTTATCTGTAAAGCTCTCTGTGAAGCTCTATCTGTGAAGACTCATGAGCGTTTGAAGCAAGACGTGGATGCGCTGCTAAGATAAAATCTAATATTTCTAGCCATTAAAGCAGGTGTATATAAGTTGTTTAGAAGTTTTTGCTGCGTGAAGATCTCACTGCTGTAGTCGATAGTAAAAAAATTGTTACGGCTGTTCAAATTATTGCACCAGTAAACGCTCATAACTCCTCATCGAGGAAGCTTTGAAGATAGCTAGATTCACCTTCATGCAATAAAGCCAACAACATCTTACTTAACAAGGCCACTTCTACTGACCGATTTCCTTGTTTTCCGTTGTTGCGCACAACCTTCTGCCACCTTACCGTAAAATTTTCATTTTCATTTAAAGCAATCTAATTTTTTTTGTCTCATACTGAAGGGAAAGCTCCATTTATATTCAAAAAAAGGCAAACCATGCAAAAACACTTTGCAAAAAAAGCGGGCAGGCATCGAAAATGCTTCTTACCCTTTGAAAACTCCACATTTGTAAGCTAAAAAATCGAAGTGGTTTAGCTTTTCGTAGAAATCAATGCGTTGATTATAAAGAGTATGATTGCTTTTCAATGATGCGCGCAGCTTGCCGCAAGTCAATGGCCCTGAAATTAAGACAAGAATGAAAACGCGACGAACTTATGGGAAGGCCCAAAAAAGGCGTTTCAAGTTTGCGCAAGATTTCTATATTCTGTTTCAAAGATCGCATAAAAAATTTGCTTCAATACTTCCATATAAGTAGCCCTGACATTTTTTAGAAGTCGGCAAGGCAAGACTTCGTTACGGCGATGTTCGCCGTCTCGCGTACCCAAGCTGTGTAGCTCCGAAAATTAGCATTTTGAGTATTTAACCTACGAATTCGGTAATTTTGAAGCCACAAACTATCCCTTCTGTCTTTTTTAGATGATCCGCCTACCGTCTTCCTCAGGATGCTTTCAGATGATGCCCAACACCAACGTTAAAAAAGGCGTTAGAAAGAAGAATTTTTTCTAAAGTTTACAGAAATGATTTTTGAAAAGTTTCAGCACTCCTGAAGCGCAATAGAAGTTAGAGCATTCTTTGCTCACGTGTAGCAAATTCTTCAAGCTTATTCGTAGGCAATCTGACTAATTAGGAAGGCGACGTAACGTAGTTGTCGAAAGTGAACTTTTTCCCTGTTTGATATTCCAAATTTGACGCTGTAGAACTTTTTCATGTCATCTGATGTAGAAAACCGAATTGAAAGTTTAGTAAAAAAAGGCTTAAAGCTTTCAAATGCATATAAACCATTTACAGAACATCGCGGGAATTATTGAGAAAAAAATCGAAAGAAAAAATGGGGCAGAATTTATTACACAACCTAATATATTCATCAGCAATCACTGGTTGTCGTCTGCTCAAATACCAGAATAATTTTAAAATCAAAAAGGGCTTTCGGAAATTTGACGTATCTATAATGGGATCACGCATCAAACTGAGACCTAACAAACCATACTAAAAAAATTGCCATTGACCTACCTTGCAGCAGTTAAGCTGCTAAATCACAATTTGTTCCGACAGCCAGAAAAAAAGAACGCTGAGGAGAGCGACGACCACTAAAAATTAAGGGCATTAATGCAGTGTATTTATTACAGCGCAGAGTATGTAAGAAATATCTACAAAACATGCTGTGCATTTGACTTCCAAATATCCCTACTCCTCTCCTACAAAAACAATACCCTTATTTTAGCAGTATGGATTCAGTTTAGAAAGTGGTGCGAGTAACTGTGCTCATTCTAGAATTTCACAGGCAAGCTATAGCTAGTCTTAAACCGAAAACTTTTTTGTAACCATTTTCAATCAATTCTCGCTGACCTTCGCTTTACTCAAATCAGTATGAGTGTGCTTTTCTAAAACGAGTAACAATTGCAACTTTGTCACATATCCTGAGGACATCACGATACCGTTGCGTGACGGAAACAATCATAATCGGTCCACTGCGCAGCCAGATACTATTTCTCTCTTTCTTTTCATTTCTAAGAAATATATCGAATTGCAGAATGGCAGAGACGACACTAATCCGTCTAATTTTCTCATTTTTCAGCAACAGGCTTGGATCTTAGTATCCGTGATACCGTTGCCTCTTGGCGAACAAAACGATTAATATGTAAGTAAGGGACGTAGAGCTACATAGAAGATGAGCTTAATGTTTCTGCAGGGCATTCACACTAGTCGTTACACTTTGCCTTGCGGCTTCACTCAATGCTGTCAGATTATTTGACTACAACTTCGTTAGGAATCAAATGTTCCCTCTGGCTGCCGCCGCCTATTCGGATGAGCCAAGGGGCTGCATACACAATCGCTTCAAAGGCTATAATGGAACTCATGGGAACTTGGTAATTCGCTTTTTATTATATCTGCTCTTTTCTTCGAAAGAGGACATGACAGCACGAGCTGAGCATGATAATTATTTGCAAGTACAGAAAGTTCTGCTTAAAATTCAAACATCTTTGCTTGTGCACGTTGCGTAAAATGTTAAAGCAGATCTTTATCGCGTGCGTTAATTGCTCGAAAGAAAAAGTACGCTTTTTCTTGTTAGTAAATGGAGAGATGCCTTAAAAAGGAAAGCGCTTTCAGGCCTGCATACACGTGCACCCCCCCCCCCCCCGCGGGGAGGAGAATTTTCTGAAAGGGGAAGCGTCATATCTCGCTACTACAATAATCTTTAACCTTTTTTCTCTACTTGACTTAGGAAGGTTCTCATATACGTGCGTATAATGGATGCAAGGTTACAGCCATGGGGATCCTCAGGGGGATCACACAACATAATGAAAAACTCTCATTTTCAGCGCTAATTATCTTTCTGAAAACTCAACGAAAACGCTGTGAAATTGTAATGAGGATATAATTGGCACAGCCAAACATGTTTTTGGCGGGAGAAGTAAAATTCAAAGATTGTGAATTTCCGATAATCTCTAGCTCGCGAGCAGTGGTTCATCGAAGATTTTGAATTTCTGGGATTTTACTTGTTTTAGCTATAGTCGTGTTCGATAGTGTCATACTACATCCTCAGCACAATGTTCCAACGGTTTCGTTGACTTTTTGAGAAGGTAAATGACTTTGTAATGAGAGGTGATCCTTTGAGGATTCCAGCGGATCACACAAGATAGTGAAATTGTGTTCTTGTATGACAGTACCATGGCAACTATTATGCGCAGGTATCAGGGTATGAGAGTTCGTAACCAGATTGAGAAAGCAGAAAGAAGGTATCTAAAGTAGCGAAATACGTGGCGTCCCCTCTCAGATCCCCTCCCCTTTCCACGGGGATGTACGTGCATGTGGGCTTTAGTAATGGCCGCTTGAAGTTAGATTTATGTTGATGAACTCAGATGAAAACTGCCATCTCAACAAAAAGCTGGCGGTGAAAAGATTCGATCCTGGAACCTTCTCTGCCATAAAGACCATACTCAAGGCACCATTAAATCGTTGCTGCACCACCTGCAGTGCTGTACCAAATAGTGCATTCAGTTGGACCTACAAGTTTTTCAGAAGAGTGTACGGTAGGTAACGATTGCGGCTTTATTCAGCATTCATGACTGACTTCAGTGACATACTTCTAAGCTCAAGCTCATATGAGGTATTTTTGCCCAGCAGTGAGGTAAATATTCATAAAATTAGTGGTGCATAGTGCTTGCAATACATGCAGGAAGCAAAATGATTCTGCGTTTGTAGATGAAATTTGAAAGGTTGTAACGCTAGTACGTTTGTCATAACTGAATAATAAAATTATCCTCAAAACTTCTATATTACATTTTGAAACACCAGAATATTCGTAACGAGATTTTTTTTCAGTTCTTTGACCATAATCTTGTTCAATGCGATGGTTTTGAGAATGACTGCTATGGATTCCTAGCCACACTAACCGAACAGTCGGCGATAGTTCTTAGTTTCAGGTCAGCTCTACCTTCAGTTTACAGCAGTCGTATTTACAATAATTTTTGGCTAGATAACGAACCGAAAGCTTCGCTCTGAAGCTAACATGTGCAACGCTTATATCAGCGTCTATCTTCGGGGAATTAAGCTATCCGCCCACTTCAGTGAACACAAAAGAAGACTGTAATGTCGTCAGCAGGAGATGAGCCAAGCATCTCAGTGGAAGCGGCTCGTGTTCGATGTTGCATACGATATATAGGAGGATATGCTTGTGCGGACGGATGCATTATAACTCACATTGCTATTGAATCCAGCTCTGCTAGTTGCGGTCTTTCTGTCAGTTTTTTGGAGGGGTATGACTGCGGCCGGCCAAAGCCCTCCAGTATGGTTTTAGCGTTCAAATAATTCAAAAGTGAAGGTGACTATCGTAAGCGGCAAGCTTAAATTATAATACGCTCTCATAATGATCATTGCTCTGCTTGAGCGCTTTAAAACTTCAACGTGCACGCACTGAAGCTGTTACCAACATTTCAAATCACTGCCTTACGTCACAATATGACACCTGGTGGTCTATTCGGAGTGATGCTGAAAAGGACGAGAAAAGAAGCACATGTTGTATATGGGTAGTGCGACCAATATTATGCTCATAATCAGTTTTCTGGGCTCATGGGTTTGAACAGAACTACCTGGTATTGACCAGATTCGTGGGCCAATTATCGAGCAACCTCGCAGCACATATACACTTCCTGCGTAGTGTTTGAGGGGAGGCCGTTGTAAATTATCGACAAGGTCGACCTGATAGCACATTACGACTGTTGTGGAACGCGTTGAGTCGTTGACGATTTATTAGAAAAACACAAGAGTTCCCCCTCTGCCTATCGGCGTACATGTCGAGGGTTCACTAGAGATAGCTCAGGAACAACACACAAAATATATCAAAGTGCGGCGGGTACGCCGCAACCACAGAGACCATATCGACCTAGCCTATAGTGAGCGAGCAAGTTCCAATATAAGGGACGGCTCTACAACACCTCCCTCCTAAGATGAACAACGGTACATCTTACAAAAAGGATCTACTTGTAGACGTTCTGGTGGGCGACGATGGCGACTTGGTCTGGTTGATGACGTAGTTGAAGTTGCATGGCGTTCAGCGATGTCCATGCCATTGTCCAATCGGTCTTCTTCGGAACGCATAGTGTGCGATGAGTCACGACGGCGATCCATACTTGATCCACTACGCATCTGGTTCGCATGTCGTCTCCATAACTGGTTGTCTTCCGTAAGCACATCGTATACGGCTTTTCCGTAGCGTTTCTTCACACGCGCTGGAATCCATTTTTCACATCCAGAGCGAAAATCACGTACCCACACGTCTTCTTGTGGTTGGTACGCTTTCTTCCGTGCTCCATGATGACTGTTAAACTGCTTCTCCATGGTTTCATTGGCCAACTTTCCTTCTTCTTTGGAATCTTCATCTAACAGCGACAGCGGTGTCCTTATCTGACGTCCCAGCAACAGTTCGGCCGGCGAAAGTTGTCCAGGGGTAGACGTCGAGGGCGTTCTTCGATAGCATTGCAAAAATTCTGCTAGCTTCTGTGCCGTCCCTCCCTCCTTGATTTTCTGAAAAGTTCTCTTGAAGATATCCACAAACCTCTCGGCTTGACCATTCGATTGTGGATGGAACGGAGGGGAGCGCATATGCTTGATTCCTTGCTCTTCACAGAAATCTTGGAATTCCTTTGCCGTAAACTGTGTTCCATTATCCGACACGATTACTCGCGGATTTCCGAATCTTGCGAAGAGTAGTCTGAGTTCCTTTAAAGTTGCAGCAGTCGACGATGACGACATTTCCAGCACTTCCGGCCATTTGGAGTACGCATCGACCACGACAAGATACATCTTTCCATTTAGTGGTCCTGCATAGTCAATGTGGATTCGATTCCATGGCTTTTCTTCCATTTTCCATGAATGCAGAACAGTCTTCACTGGCATCTTGGCTGCTTCTTGACATTCCCTACAGAGGCGCACTGAGTCTTCGATGTCTCTATTGGTGCCCTTACTCTTCGTGCACTTTCCTAGGTCGCTGTTGAAGACTTCCCCATACTTCTTCTTCAAGTTGGCGACCACTTCGGCTCGGATTTTCTCTTCGCTAATCACCTTTCTGCAATAGAAGTTGCCCTTCAGCTTTTTGTATGCCGGCAGCTGGATGCACCATTCCAGTCCTAGTAGATTCGAGCCTTCAGTGACGTAGCATGTGCCATTTCCATGAAGCATCTTTCCTGTAACTCGATCTCTGACGGAAAAGTCGGTTGAGAATTTACCATATATCTTCATCGACGTCCCGCCTGCAGTTTTCACGGGCATCACACAGGGTTCCAGAGCCGGGGATCCCATCCTCTTCCAAGCTCTGCGTGATATCAGCGTTATATCTGCACCTGTGTCCAGCTGAAGTTTGAGATTACATCCTCTGACTACGACGTCGAGGTAGGTCCGCGCGCTCTCGGCGTCGAAAGTGACCACATGTTTGCACTCTCTTCTTCTGCCAAACCGCGCTGTCTTCCGCCGCTTCTTCCGACCAGTGTTGTCGGATTGTGGACAGTCTCTTCTGAAATGTGGTCCTCCGCACGTGAAACAAGTTACCTCCTTTTTCTTCCACACTGCATGGATGTCGCGCGTTCCTTCCATGTCTGTATTATCCATTTTCAGGGCAGTAAAGTTTTCACATTCCGCGACTAGGTCCTCGATTGTCAACGGTGCTTCGTCCCTGTGAGCGTCCAGTCGACGAATCATCCGAAGGCGAACTTCCCTAAGTGAGGGATCTTGAAGACCTGCTACGAACTGCAGCGTCTTCATCGCCGTGTAGTCGACCTCCTTGAGCCGGGCATCCTCGTCCATCCGCTTGATAGTGTTGGCGTACTCGCGAAACGGTACGTACGTCGGTGTTAACGGAGGGCACGTTATCCTTAGGCACTCATAACGTCTCCTGATGAGCGTCTTCTTGGAGGCGAACAGCTTCTGGAGATTCGCTACGGTGGTCTCGAAGTCCAAGTCGCTTGGTTTCGCTGGCAGAACCTCATCGGCATACTTCCTGTATGCTTCTTCATCCAGCTTCATCAGAATCAAGTCGCGCTTCTTCTGATCCGGAAGCTAGGACTCGCGAATGACTGGTCCATACCTGCCATACCAGTAAGCAAATGTGTTACCTGTTTCTTCGTCTGCGGTAAATCTCTGCACGTCCTTGCTCAGCTGGTCATATCGATCCTTACTGGCGTCCTGGACGGCTATCCTTTGGTTACTAGTCAAAGCAGTGACCAACGTCTTCATCTGCTCCTGTTGTGCTTGCCATTGCATTTGCATCTGCTCCTGTTGAGCTTGCAACTGCACTTGCATTTGCTCTTGTTGAGCTTGTAGACGAGCCTGCATTTGTTCCTGTTGAAGCTGCATATGCAGCTTCATCTCCTCCTGTTGAAGCCGCATCTGGTCGACCATGACTGATAGGACCTTCTCCAAGGAGTCGTGACCATGCCGTTCTTCACTGGCTTTCGGCATGGTGGACCTCTCCTCAACGACTTCTTCTGTAGAATCAACAATCTTCTTAGCAGAGCTTACTTGTTTAGCTGTCCTCGACCTGTGACAGCTTCCTCCCCGATCCGAGCTGCAGCAATTCTTCTCGTCCTTGATGGATAGAGACTTCTGGCCCTTGGTCGGTGAAGCTTCTTCTTTTCCTTGGTCGGTGGAGGCTTCTTGTCCTTGATCGATGGAGGCTTCTGGTCCTTGGTCGATGGAGGCTTCTGGTCCTTGGTCGGTGGAGGCTTCTTGTCCTTGATCCTGATCGCCAGTTGTTGTGGAACGCGTTGAGTCGTTGACGATTTATTAGAAAAACACAAGAGTTCCCCCTCTGCCTATCGGCGTACATGTCGAGGGTTCACTAGAGATAGCTCAGGAACAACACACAAAATATATCAAAGTGCGGCGGGTACGCCGCAACCACAGAGACCATATCGACCTAGCCTATAGTGAGCGAGCAAGTTCCAATATAAGGGACGGCTCTACAACAACGACAAAATAATTAATCATGATTTCGGATCCGCTTTGGTTTCGCATAAGCTTTCCTGCAAACACCTCGTTCGCCATCACTTTCGTGCTAGTCAAGACAGCCTGTGCTAAAGAACATTTGCAGCATTTGTCCGTTACTGAGACACTGAGGTCTGCTTTGAAGATGAAAATCTCAGCCGCAAGCGCAGAATCTGAGCTGCCGCTCAGTGTCTAGTCGCAGTGTCTTGATTAAAGCCCTAAAATTACTATCAGCGTGAGATCCGCATAAGTCTAGATTTGATCAACGCTGCTTCTAAACAAAACGTTTGATTTGCTTCCGGCAGCTTACAATATAAATCACGTCTAAAATGTCCACACGTCTCCAAAGAGACCGATGAATGAATTCACTCATAACGCTTGTGAACTTCTTGTGTAATCCTTTTCAAAATAGAGAACTTTACAGAATGCTAGAGCTAGGGAATACCCACCAAGTAGAACAGCGAGCAGACGTGCAAATCTTGCAAGACTATTTGAAATAAAGAAATTGCTTCGGATCAGTGTCCCTAGTTGGGGGACTAATACCATGTTATGTTAAGATTGCAAAGCATTGTATCTTCCAAAACGCTGCCTTCGTTTACGTGCTAAGTAAAGGAACTTGGAAATGTTTTTCAGGGATGCCAGTCTGGATGCCACGATGGGAGCGGCAACCCGAGCTGCGCCCCGAACGTGACACTCAGGTTGGAATTTCCCTGCAGCTCAACAGTTATTATTACAGAGGCACCAATTATCTAAGTCAACTCAAAAACGAAGTTGCCACCAGCGCTGCTGTGGTAATTTGTGTGAAATAATTGGTGCGTAGATCAGCTGTTGCTTAAGGTCCTCATGGGGTCAGGTGAAGTGTCTTGGTACTTCTACAATGCCTTCTCAAATGTGTGGGGAAATGACGCAAAAGGCGTAAAAGGTCTAGAACGTGCCTTCAAGAACCAGATCGAACGACACCCTAAGTACGAAATATGGGTATGTATTGAATGCACAAAGATCGTTTTCATGTGACCAGAAACTTTAGGTGACCGTCCATCGCTCGGAGGTGCCATGGCGTCTCTGGCAGCGTATCACATCGCCAAAACTTATAACAAGATATCTGAGCGGATAAATGAGCGGATAAAGCTGGTAACATTCGGAGAGCCAAGAACAGGCAATGCTGCATATGCTGAAGACTTCAATAAAAAGGTAGAAATTTACATAATCATTTACACAGCATGCTCGAATACCCGCTCTGCCTTGCTCTGTCAGTACACTATGTCAGTATACCAAAAACTACCACCTCTACTTTATATAAGTTTTTTTGTTCTTATTCTTCTTCCGTATGCCAGTATTCACTTCTCCCACTACGTTTTCGTATTCATTTTTTTCGTGCTTATTTACCCACTGTGCCTGATGGTGGAGTAAAGCACAATTAGCATGAGTTTTCAAGTCTCTGAAACTCTACGCAGACTTTTTGAAATTCTCTCCAGTTTTTTTGAAACTTGTACATTTTCAAGTTTGTGTGAAGTTTGTATCATATCGTCCAAATATGGCTCAACGTGAGATAATTTAGAAAAATCTAGAAACTTTCAAATATGGCTCAACGTGAGATAGTTTAGAAAAATCTAGAAACTAAGAAGAGAAATCTTAACAAACTGTCGTGAGGTCTGAAATTTTGGTCATTATTTCTTCGCAAATCGACTACGCATTTCGGGTCGTCAACGAAAGAGATCCAGTGCCGCATGTTCCATTTTCTCCACGTTTACCATTTTCTTCAAAACCCGGATACTACAGTCACCATAAGTATGAAGTGAGCAATTTGATCTTGGCAATTCGTTTTTTTTTGTTGAAATTATCAGCCATAAAAACATCGAGTAAGTGCTTATAATGCGTAAGAGTTATGTATGATTTTTGTTCAGGAGATTCGACCCTTAGGACGCTTAGATGTTTTAGATCTAGCTTCAAAGTTTACGGATCACGATTTTTGCGTATCTCTGGTGTCATTTTGAAGAGCTTGCTTGGCTCTATCGTGCATTCGTATAATTTTAGGGATTGCTTTTTTTGCCTTTCAATTTTTTAGGGTCTCGTTTCTTATACACGCTATTAGAAACATATTATTTGGGAGCAAGAGGACTTAGAAAACTTACTTCTTATCCAAACATTTGTTGCAATCTAGAACATTTTTGAATTGGCGGTCATCAATTACAAATTTATTGAGGTATGGTTCCCGAATGGCATGGGGCCTCGTTCAAAATTCTTGGTCTGCCATGGTAAAGAAACCTTGAGACTTTTTCCGCTTTCAAATACTTTACTTGGAAAAGAAGCCATTCTATCTTTCAGATGAGGCTGAATCCAACGAGAGGTGCAGCAACCAACTTTATGTAAAAGGAATACTTTGGCATTATACAAAGTACTTTGACAAGAAGGTCAGCGACTATGGAATCAAAATGTGTTCGGTATAGGGTGTAATCATTGCCAAATACATATATGCATCATCTGTTGAAGTGTGTGGTATCATAGTGTTGCTACCACACACTTCAACAGCATGTTTCACTCACGAGGCATCTCACCTTGTGTTTAACTAGCTCCATGAGCGTACAAGGGTTGCGCCATAGAGTTTTGTCTCACCTGACCAGAGAGAGCAAAATATCGCACAAAGCAAAAATCTTCAGATTTCTAAACAAGCAGTCGCAGTACATTAAGCTCTTACGAGAAGCCCGCACACTTGTTGGCTTTCCTTTCTGCACACCCAGATAAATCTCTCTGAAAGCGCTGTTTGAATCAAATGGTTTAAAGGAAAGCTTCAATAATTTAATTTTTGATTCAACTGGCTTGGCACCATTAGGGCGGAGTTTTGTGGTCTAGTTGAGACAGCTCGCGCCCGCGACGCACCTGCGTTTCTCTCGCGCGAGTGCTCTCTGATCACTACCTAGCCTTAATTAGGTCAGAAAGCCTTGCCTTTGCCGATGCCAAGCCAGTTGAATCAAATGGTATTTGTCCAAGCTACATGCTTCCGCTACAGCTGTAAGGTCGAAGGCATAGAAATCTTGTCGCTACGCAATCTTACACCGCAAAGACTCTTCATCATTAGTCGTAAAGGCGCTTTGTTTGTGCCAGACTTTATGGCATCTTGGATTCGTAGACATCTGCCAAATGGCCAAGTCGCCATAGCGCTTTGACGGAATCGCGAAAAGTACGCCGTAGGCCTAAAACTTTTCATCATTCACTACATGTAAGGAGGCTGTAGAAGTGTGCACGGCCAAAGAGAGCAATGCGAGTCGCGACAGCTAGCATCTGAAACTGCTCGCAGGAATGGCTATATCACTGTGAAGTCCCGGCAGCGAACATCTATTGGACACGCAAACAGTAGCCCATGCGAAGTAAGAACAATGACAATAAGATCCCTCTCTGTATGTTTTTTTTTTGTTCGACAGCTTCAGTAAAGCAAACCAAATGCATAGTAGCACATTTTGAAAATGGGGTTATGCTGTGCAACATTCTCAGTAAACATCAGAAAGTTGTTTGAAACAGATTGCATGACGTAGAATATATACCGAAGAAATGCATGTATGCCCTTACGGAAATAAGGCGATTGAGCTGAGGGTATCGCTTATCACTTGGAACGCATGAATTGTGGCACGACGTACATAGGAGAAACTGAAAGAATTCTAAGTGTTAGTGGAAAATACCTGGTTAATAAAAGACGAGAAAACCTGTCATCACCATTAGGCGAGCATAAGATTGAGGTACATAATGATGGCGATTTTTTGAACATGAAATGTACAATTTTAGTGCACGAGGTCAAAATCTCCGCGAAAATCACTAGAGGCTGCAGTGGATATAGCGGAGTATGGACAACAGAAATGACCGAGTGACACAAACGGCCGATCTCTTGCCTCTTTCAGTCTGCCCCAATCCCAACCAGGCCAAAGTTGGCATGGTGGGAGCCCCGGGTCGCTGGGGTTTCGCCGTCACAACTATGGCCTGCTTATCTGCTCCTCTTCAATCCTTTTGCTCTTTACGACAGCGCGCATAAGCAGCGCGGACCGCTAGCGCTGCGAGTGCGCAAATTTCCGCTGAGGGTTCTGCCTGATCTCGAATGGAGCAAACTGTATGTCACAATGCGACCTACAGTAGCGCAGTATGTGTTGCTCTTGACTCACTGCCCTTGACTGACCAACAGTGATGTCCGTCAGATTCGTGCGGAATACTGACCGGTGAAGTAGAAGTCGGTGAATTAGTTTTAAAAAGTTGGATTGTTTCTCAACACATTGCGCCTCAACGAGGTTTGAACGGCGGAAGCTTGATGAGGCGTTTGGGTTGGATCACGCGGCAAAGTTTCGAAGATTTACTTTTCAGCCCTCGCTAAACCCTCGTCTGAAGCTTCACTTACTTTATGCGTTCATACTGATCCGGAAGTCTGGGAAACAGTTCCAGCACAGCGATCAGTTCGAGCGCTGTGCTGGAAATGTTTCTGTATACTGTCTGGAACTATTTGAACTCAGCCTTTTCCAGCTGAGATTTTGTCTTGTTTTTCACTTGAGAGTACAATCGGCATGTTTTTCTCTTTACTAATTACAATTTGACGGTGCCCTCATCTCCGTCAAGTCCTGAGATGTAATTTACATCCCTTTTTTGATCGATCTATTGAAGGAACTTTGTTTAGTCGGAGTAGCTTTTTTAGATGTAATGTATACCATAGCTGAGAGCATAAAACGCTGGATCAAATGCTTTCCTAATCTGCGGAACGTTTGTGGACGAGAATTTATAAGATTTTATTTGAGCAAAAAAATACATGTGCAAGTAGGACAAAAGTAGTCGTAAGTTTTTTCTAGAGCTTCAATGGAGCAGTGATGAGTATTAGAGCACCACATTCAATAAATACTCTTGGATAAAAAGTCATACTTGGTGGCTTTTTAAGAGGGCTATCAAGATTTTAACAGCTCATTTTATCCCGAGTGCACATTCACTTCTTTGTTCCCAAAACGCTTATTTTAGAGGTTGCTATTGTTGCCTTTCAATTTTTTAAGGGATCTTCTTGTTATCCACGTCTCAAGGAACATACAATCTGAGAGCAAAAAAACCTAGAAAACTTTCACATACTTCTCATTTGAACATTTGTTGCAACCTAGAGCATTTCTGACCTGGCGGTCCCTAATTGCGAACTCATTAAGGTATGGTTCCCGAATGGCATGCAGCCTGATTCAAAATACGAAGTGTGCTTTGGTAAAGAAACTATGAGACTTTTTCCGCTTTTTGAATACTTCACTTGAAAACAAGCCATTCTATCTTACAGATGAAGCTGGATCCAACACGAAGTGCAGCAACTCACTAAAATTTCCCATCAAAGCATGGACAGATCATAGACACTACTTCGGAATACTCCTCAGCGACTGGGGATTAAAGGGATGTCCTGTTTAATCATTGCCAAATACATTTCCGCATTCATCTGTGTTGCTACCACACACTACAACAGCATTTTTCACTCACCAGGCTTCGCACCTTGTGCTTTAACTAGCTCCGTAAACGTACGAGGGTTGTGCCATAAAATCTTATGACTGTTTGTGAAAAACAAAGCTTATCTGAGCAGAGAGGTTGAAAAATTGAACAGAGCAACAATACTTAGATTTTTAAAAGAGCAGTCGCAGTACATCAAGCTCACACGAAAACCCCCGCTCATTGTTGGCTTTCCTTTCTGCACACCCAGATGAATCTCTTTAATGGCACTGTTCGAATCAAATGTTTAGAAATGAAAGCTCTAAGAATCTACTTGTTCAAGCTACATCTGTCCACCCTACAGCTGTAAGACCGAAGGCATACCTCAGACGAATTCAGTCGCTGCGCGATCTGGCATCGCGAAGACTCTTCATTATTGATCTTAAAAGCCCTTTGCTTGGGTTGGATTCCATGCTTTTGCAACAACTCACAGAAATTACTCACTCGTGCATTTAAACCCGCTCACGCTGATTCTGTGGAAATCCGGCAAACGCCAATTCGCCATAGCGTTTTTACGGAATCACAGAAAGTATGCCTTAGGCCTATAACTTTCCATCATTCACAAGATGTACAAAAGGCTGCAGAAGGGTGCACGGCCAAATAGAACGATTCGAGTCGCGACAGCTAGCATCC